TCTGTGATCAGGAGATGGAAACCTCGAGAAATCACAAGCCAGAGTCACACAGTGATATGTGGCAGAGTCAGGATTTAAACCCAAGTCTGTCTGGCTCCCAAGTCCCTACCACGTGCTTTTGAATGTGAAGATGAAGGACCAGGTCTGATCTGAAATAAGCTGGGGATTTTTTTTTTTTTTTAAAGCCATAACAAGTCATTATGATTTGGCTAATAATAGATTGATCTGCAAACACAAATTTCTTTACTAAGGGAAGGTTCTCCAGAAAGTTATTTACATCACCTAGTAAATAACTTATAGTTGAATCTACTACTCTCCTTGTCCGGCCTCCTGCAGCACTGATGCCCCACTTTCTCAGGTGGTGCAAGTGAGACCCTACCTATGGGCATAAAAACCCCAAACTAAACCCACTGCCATCAATTCTGACACATAGCAACCCTCTAGAGCAGTGGTTCTCAACCTCCCGAATGCTGCAACCCTTTCATACAGTTCCTCATGTTGTGGTGACCCCCAACCATAAAGTTATTTTTGTTGCTACTTCATAACTGTAATTTTGCTACTGTTATGAATCGTAATGTAAATATCTGACATGCAGGATGTATTCGGAGACCCCTGTGAAAGGGTTGTTCGACCCCCAAAGGGGTCGTGACCCACAGGTTGAGAACCACTGCTATATAGGGTTTCTGAGGCTGTTTTGTCTTTATGGGAGCAGATAGCCACATCTGACACCCATAGAGTGGCTGGTGGGATTGAACCACAAACCTTGTGCTTAACAGTCCCACACTTACATGGCAGCGCCTAACAGAAGCCCTCTTAAATAGCAATCGGACTTTATAGAATGTCCAGGAAATGATGTGTCTTAGAGAGAGGATGAGTCTAAACTGGACCTTGAACAGGGAGTATTGGGGCTGATGCCCCCATTCAGGCACCTGCGTACTTGTAGTCAGTGCTTCCTGCCTCTTGGGGTGAAAGGCTTTGCTACTGTCACCTCCTGTCTGCACAGCCTTTCACACAGGGCCTTCGTTCTCTTGGTTTCACGGGACCTGCCTGCTGCTCTGTGAGGTTGGGAGGGCAAGTCTTATCACCCTGTCTTACATGGAGGCTGTGCGATGGATGCACATAGGACTTCAGATCTAAAAGCTGGGGTTTCTGTCCTGGCTCCCTTACTAACTAGCTGTGTGTGACTTTGGGGTACTTCACTGCTCTCAGTGTCTTTCCACATCTGAAGTAGGACTTGTACCAATAGGCGCCCAGAAAGATCTCATGACTTACCACCTGAACCGTGCAGGGTTAGACAGTGTAAGAGGCTGCTTCAGCAGGTGAACCCAGGAGGTCAGATTCAGGGATCCAACGCTGGTAGCGCTTCATCACATTGCCTCTGCCTTGCTGCTTTCTGCCAGGGCCTCACTCATGATCCGTTTCCGGTGTCAGTCCCTACTCCCTGCCAGCCCGGAAGCTACCCTGTCCCTCCCCCACTCCTCTGAGGGCTGATTTACTGTTGATAACCACCTCCCTAAAGAGCCTTCTGTACTTCCAGTTTCTTGGGCCTTGTGACTGCTGTCCAGCGAGTGCTGGACTGGTGGTGGAGGGAGAGTTCCCAATCATGCCGCCACACCCACCCCTCGTTCCCCATGAAACTCGGAAATGCCAGGGCCTCTAGAGACCCCTTCCCTGCTCCCAGGGCACTTCTGCCTCATTTCATCCTCCTGATGCCCACATCAAGGCATCTTTTCACATCCATTTCATGGATGGGGAAAGCAAGACCCAGAGAAGGGAGGGGCACAGAGTGCAGAGATGGAGCTAGACCTCAGGTTCTCCCACTGCCTGGTGTTGTTAAGTGCCATTCAGTTGATTATGACTCGTGGTGAACCCTGCATTTGCAGAGTGGAACTGCTCCATAGGTTTCTCAAGGTTGTGATCTTTTAGACACAAATTACTAAGCCTCTTTTTCATTGTACGACCTGGCGGCATAAAGTGGTTACGCACTGGACTGCTAACTACAAGGTCAGGAGTTCGAAACCACTATCTACTTCAAGGGAGAAAGATGAGGCTTTCCTCTCCCGGGAAGCTATAGTCTCCAAAGCCTACAACCTTTGGGCTAGTAATGAAATGGTTTAATCATTTGCACCACCCAGCCTGGAAATCCCTCTCCTGCCCTGGAGGACCTTTATCTCCTTCCAGACTCATTCCCCAAGAGTTTCAATCTGCCTGTCTAGAGGTTGAGCACACACTTACTCATGCAAATAAAAGATGAAACTCTTTTTAATGGGAACCAGAGAAGCAACCACTTATTTATTTCCCTTCCAGCTGGAAGCCCCGGGGAAGCTGTGGCCTGGGAAGGCACTAGGACAAGCCCTGGGTCCTGGGCAGCCCCCATATGGCCAGTTTCTTCACTGCTTCCCAATGGGGAAGTCCCCCTCTGCCACCCATCTTTGATTCTCAAGGGTTTAGAACCACTGGTTAAGAGGTCAGACTGTGGGGCTAATGAGATCCTAGAATAGGGTACAGCCTTGCTTTGTAGGAAATGAAATGGAGAAGATGGGCCGGTGATAAAGGATGGGTGGAGTCAAGGATACTGAGAGATTTGGGTGTTTCTAAAACAGGGCTGCCCGCTTCCAGAGAGAGGGGGACTTGGGGGACTTGGAAGTGGGAGAGAGGCAGGGAAAGGAAGTCACATACTGGCCCACGAGTCCCCATGGCCTAGAGGAAGTAGCCGATGAGAGAAGGACCCTTGCCACAGTAGTATAAATAATCACAGGGTTTCCGGAAGCTCCATCCTGTCCCAAAACTCCGAAGAGCAGTTCCTCACCCCAAGGTCCTGTGAGCTACAGAGATCAGGGTGGTGGCTGGAGCTAGGACTTCCTTATACTTAGCCCACTAATAATTACAGTAGCCTGTTTATTGGACACTTCCTATGTGCCGTGCCTCATGCTAAGCACTTCACATACATTAGATCATTTCTTATCTCAGCAACTCTGATGCCATAGGCAGGGCTGTCTCCTTCTTACAGGTGAGAACATTGAGCTCCGGGGAACCTAGATAAGATACCCAAGATAATATATGACTGGTTGGTGGTGCTGTGGCCAGTCTGACACCAACATCCATGTTCTTGGTGATAGTGTTGCAGTAGCATTGAGTTCTCTACCCAAGAAGCTGGAAGTCCCTGAAATTCTTAAGAAACACCTGCTATGGTCTCGGGGAAAGAGATGAGTGAATATGGGGAACATCAGGTTTTTACTTGCTCCTTGTTCATGCTTCCTGGTGGAGCTTGGAGGTTCTGGCCCACCCCTCCAAGGGCCTTGAGAGAAAATGCTGATGTCTGCAAGCCTCAGCCTCATTCCTCACAATATACCCGGAGTCCAGCCCAGCTCATCCTGCAGTATTCCTCTGCATGGTGGGTTGCCATTCTGGGTGGATGTAGCTGGATCGCGTTTCCTATGCTTGAAAGAATGGTGGAGTGAGAGGGAATGTACAGTAATACCTGATGCAAGTGTTACAGAGACTGTAAGGGAGGGGGATGGGTGAGAGGGAGGAGAAGGGGAGTTTGTGAGTAAATAATGAAGGCGGGAGCCAGGAGGGAGCACTGGAGCTGATCGTGATTGAATAGCTCACTTTGGGGGTGAATCAACCCTCGGGGGAAGGGAATGTTCGAGGATAGATGTGGGGGTGATTGTACAATTCCCCTTTGAAATGTTTGAGCGATTGAACTATTCAATTCTATGACAAGTAAATTATGTGCCAATAAAACTGTTGAAAAAGAAAGAAAAAAGGGTGAGCTCTCCCCCTTTTCCCAATCCCTAAGGCACCCTCCATTGGAAGCCAGCAACCATTTAAAATTGCACTCCGCACTCGGTGACCCTTCAATTGTGGCTTTTAGTTTGCACTCAGTAGCCAAGGTGTCAGCTTTAGAGAAATGTGAAAGTACTGGTGTGCTAGGTTTTGAGCCAGCTGGTCAGCACTTTGAACCCTCCAGCCGCTCCATGGGGAAAAGACGCAGTCGCAAACCCAAAGAGGCAGGCAGTTCTACTCAGAACCAGAATTGACACAGTGGCGGTGGGTCGTTTTTTGGGGGGTTTGGATAGGATGGCGCTAAGTTGAGAGAGGCCCTTTCCTCACACTCACCCCCCACCCCGGGGGCTGCCTCTCAGAGTGACCTGGGACAGCTGCCTTGTCTCAGAATTCCTCTCCAGTCTACTGGGTAGAGGGGTCCATATCAGCCTCTTTCTTCACCCACACTGCTTTTCTTAGTACTCAGAGCAAAATAAAAATAGCTAATACTTAAATCATCAGCTGCTCCATGGGAAAAAGTTAGTCTTGGAAACCCACAGGGGCAGTCTTACCCTCTGTCAGGTCCCTGTGAGTCGGCATCGACTGACTTTGGTTTGGTTCGGTTTGATTATTAGTGCCAGGCACATTGCTAATTGTTTTATATGTGTTGACTAACTTAATCCCCATGGCAATCCAATGAGGAAGGGGTTGGTTTTTTTATTTGCATTGTTATTTTATTACAGACACATGAAAGGGCTGTTTTATAGGGAGTGCCAAGTCAGTACTTATCCAGCCTTAGGCTTTTTTTTTTTTTTTTTTAAATCGGGGGCTCGTACAGCCCTTAACACAATCCATCCATCCACTGTGTCAAGTACACTTGCACAAATGTTGCCATCATTTTCAAAATGGGGCTGTTTTTCAGATAGGAAACCAGGGCACAAAGTGGTCTCGCCGTTTCTCCAGGGTTTGACCTTAGTCAGTCTGGCCAAGGAGTGGATGTGCTTCACATCACATACGACCAGCCATCTGGTTCCTCGCTCCTTTGTTCCACTCTGGGACTCCTCCCCTCGTGTGTGCACACAGTTGTGTGTGTCTGTGGTCTGTCTTGATGGCATTGTAAGGTAGTGCCAGGCTGAAGGAGCAGGAGTGGGTGTCCCTGTACGTGCCCTCACCCTTTGTCACCCATGGCTACAGGCATCCCTAACCAGGAGTGTCCCTCTATGTGTCCACAGGTAACTGCATCCAGAGGGGCCCAGAAGAGAGAGGAGGCGTTGCCTCCACAGCTGTGATTGCCCCCAGGATGCAGAGCATCAAGTGTGTTGTGGTGGGTGACGGAGCCGTGGGTAAGACGTGCCTGCTCATATGCTACACAACTAATGCCTTCCCCAAGGAGTACATACCCACGGTGTTCGAAAATTACAGCGCGCAGAGCTCGGTTGATGGGCGCACAGTGAACCTGAACCTGTGGGACACGGCGGGCCAGGAGGAGTATGACCGCCTCCGCACACTCTCCTACCCTCAGACCAACGTCTTTGTCATCTGCTTCTCCATTGCCAGTCCACCTTCCTACGAGAACGTGAGGCACAAGTGGCATCCGGAGGTGTGCCACCATTGCCCCGACGTGCCCATCCTCTTGGTGGGCACCAAGAAGGACCTGAGGGCCCAACCTGATACCTTACGGCGCCTCAAGGAGCAGGGCCAGGTGCCCATCACCCCGCAGCAGGGCCAGGCGCTGGCCAAGCAGATCCAAGCAGTGCGCTACCTCGAGTGCTCAGCCCTGCAGCAGGAGGGTGTCAAGGAGGTGTTTGCTGAGGCCGTCCGGGCTGTGCTCAACCCCACGCCAGTCAAGCGCGGGCGGTCCTGCATCCTCTTGTGACCCTGGCGCTCAGCTTGGAGGCTGCCCCTGCCCCCCTACCAGTTGTGCCTTGGTGCCTTGTCTGCCCCCAGCTGTGCCTTAAGGACTAATTCTGGCACCCCTTGCCAGGGGGCTGGCTGAGTCCCATTTCTCTCTCAATGCCTGTCTCATGAAGGAGGCCGGCAGGGAAAGGGGTTTGGGGCCTGCCCCACTGCACTTGGGAACACCAGGTGTTCTCCTGAGTTCTCCCAGGCCAAGGCTGGATCCCTTCCCAAGTGACCAGCCTAGTGCCCACTCCCCATTGCCCCCTACTGACCAATTCAGCCAGCTTTTCCACACAGGTATTGCTGCCTATTTGTGGTGCCTCAGGTTAGGGCCTCTCAGCCATCCCTAACATCTGCCTTTACTGCACTTGGAATTGCCTTCCCTTACCCCTCAATGGAAAGATGTTCCTGAGAAGATGAATGTGCCCTAACCTGCCCCCACGTGCCTCGGCCTCATGCATCCGCTGACTGACTAGGTCCCTGTGCTCCTGCGGGCCTTTCCTGCCCCCAACAGCATCAATAAAACCTCCTGTCTCTGGTGGCCCTGGCTCCTCCCTGTGTGCTAGGCAGTGGGGGGGTTGGGTAGGGCTGGGCAAGGGCTCCCCAGAGACTGGGAGCCTTTTGTTTTCTGCTAGAGGGGACAGGAGACAATAGGCTTCATTTTGTACCCCCCTCCCCTCAACCCCCCAATTTCCCTAACAAAGCTCTGGGCTTCCTTGGAGGTACCAGTCTAGCTCTGGGGGCCCAGCCATAGATGCTGTGGTGGACTGGAATGCAAAGCCGAGGGAGGACTTCCTGATCTAGGGCTCAGAGAGGGAGATTGAGAACCACAGGCCTTGTGATGAGGGATCTGAGGACTGTGCCCTTAAAAGGTGGATTTTTCCAATCATTCGCATTCAACACAGTGGGCTTAGGCCAGCCTCAAGAGACTGTTGATCTAAAGACCCTGCCATAGATGCACTTCATCAGGAGTCTGTCCCTCGCCAAAGAAAGACCAGCCCCGACGACTAGCAGGCTTAATCCATAGTCTGCAAAAAATATTTATTTTCCTTTGAAATAAAATATACAACCCAAAGAGCTCAAAGCCTGGGGCAGCTAGGAGGATGGGGGAACCCCAAGGAGCCCATTTTGGTGTAGGGATCTGCCCCTGACACCTCCACCCCACACATTTGCAGAGGAAGAAGGGTCTGAAGGCCAGGCATTTCAGAGGGGAAGGGAAAGGCATGCTGAGCTGGGTCCTTTCTGGAGCAGGTGGGCACTCAGCTACAGTCCACTACCTGCATCGGGGGTTGGCAGAATCCTTGGAAATCATGGCCTGCCCACTGTCCATTAGACAAACAGACACAAGGAGGCCCAAATATAGGAAAGGTTATGCCCAAGGGCGCACACACTCACATAAAGTTGTGTGTCTGAGACACCTGGGCAGCCTTCACAAAGGGTTAGCCGTTGGTCTTGAGACTCAAGTGGCTGATCCCATGCAGAGAAAAGGGCTGTGGGTTTCAGGTAGCAGCCCCTGCTCTGTGGTCCCTAACCTCAGTGAGGTGGCTGTGTAAGGATCTAAAATGGGCTTGTGGTTGTGAACCTCTGGACTTTTTTTATAGCACCAGAAGGTGGAGCTCTCCTGTCAGCCTAGCTTCTTGAGGCTTTGGGGAGGGGTGGGGGGTGGGGAAGACTCGAATGATGATGCCTGCTGCTTGGAGGCCAGAAGCTTAAGTGGGAAAGGGAGGGGGGGGGGGAGAGGGATGGCATGCCCCCCGCTCCCCACCCCCTGGTTTAAAGAGAGCACAGGTGGCAAAGATCAGAGTGTCCTCTTTCTGGGCAGTGGACCTGCTTTCCTCAGAAGCGTTTTTCTTCAGGCTGGGAGGTAATGAGCAGCTCTTTGTTCCCGAAGTCCCACCAGGCAGTCATGTGGAACGCCATGTTGGTGAGAACCACAGTGTACTCCAGGATGGCAAAGATGGTGTATACTATTGTGAGAACACAGAGAACAGGGCCAAGGTGACTCTCTAGCCACCTCTATTCAGAGGCTTCTTGCTAAGTCACTACCATTAGACCACAGGGAACTCAATAATAGCCAGCCCCCAACACTAATGCCATATTACACCTCATAGAAAGCCTCCCGACGGGCCCACAGTCAATTCGACTACGTACAGATCCCAGCCTGGCCTCACCTCCAGCCTCACAATACATGTTGTGCCGAAAGTAGACAGCCAGTGCCGAGAAGAAGGCGATGAAGTTGATGATGAAGAGCCTCTGTTTCCAGCTGTAAGACTTTCGCTCCTAGGGAATGGGGTGGCTGATCACCCCGCAGATGGCAGCCCACCCCCCCTCGACCCAGGCTTCAGAAGGCTGGGCCGTGCCGCCCTCAGGTCCCTTCCGGTAGCCAGGGGAAGGGACAGAAGCAGGTTCAGCAGGTCTAATAGGTGGGTTCCCAGTCCTATTTGGGGGATGGGGGGCAATGGGCTGGGAGATGCAGCTAAGGAGCAATCTGCCCCTGCCTTCCCAATTCTGGGGGGTAGAGTTTACAAGTTATGTGTTGTCACCCACCAATCCACCGCCACCAGATACTGTGGGGAGAAGGTGTGTACGTGAGTGGGACGGGAGAGCCATTGGAGACCACAGCTCCTGATGGTGTTCCCAGCCCCCTGCTGCTTGGGTGTAGCTCCTCCTGCCCCAGTGGAGTTTCAAGGTGTTGTCCAGTGTCCCCCACCCCCCTGTCCCACACACACCCGACTCCAGCCTTAGATTCAGACCAATCACCTTCCTCTGGTTCCCCAACCAGGTCACCAGTCAGGGTTAGAACGCCAGGCCCGCCGCCCGGTTCCCACATCCTGAGGGTAGACCGTACCTCTGAACTTACTGTGTGCTTCTTGGCCAGGCGCCAGAGAATGCAGGTTACGAGCATGTAACTGAGCGATGAGGCGATGAATACAATGAAGGCATTCTCGTGGATGGCTGATAGGAGAAAAGAGGGGGGGGGGGAGGCGCACACATTGTAGGGAGACCCCAAAGCAACAGAGCGCGATGGGAGCGAGGGGCCGACCCCGCCGTTCCCTCCCCGAACCCCTGCCCACTCCACCCTCCTCCCGACACCCACTGAAGTCCTCGGAGGAGGAGACATAGGTGAGCACTAGTAGCGCCAGGTTCTCGACGACGTTGAGGCTGAAGTTGAGGCGGCAGAGTGGGCGGTAGCCGGGGCACGGGCAGGCACAGCTGAGGTAGTAGTTCCAGTAGGCGAAGGCCACCATGAAGCGGGGCGCCGAGTGCAGGCCGATGCAGAAGCGCCACACGTAGCGCTGAGGAACCTCCCCGCCGATGGCCGAGCTCACCGATGGCAGGTAATTGGGCACCTAGAGAGGTGTGACCCATCTGGGCGCCGTCCTTGGAGGGCCCTGCCCACCTGGAGAGCCTTCTCTCCATCTAAGATCACGCTCCTCCCCACAGTCCCAGCCCCACCCCTTCCAAGAGGTCCTCCTTCAGGCACCCACAGAGCTCCCCTGGGAAACTGCCCACTTCCAAGTCCTGGGTCCAAGAGCCTCTGTTCCCATTGCGCAGCCAGTTTGAGATTGTGGAGGGGTATGGTGATGGGACCTTATCCGTCCCCTCCTGCCCCCGCTTCCCCACTCTCAATCTCAGCTGAAACCTGCACGCACTGGGCACCTGTGCGAATGGGTCCGGCTGCTCCCCATCCCACCGCAGGGCCTTGTCTCCCATCCCGTCGGACGGATGCTGTGTAGGGCCTCGGATCAGCCCGGGGCCAGGTGTGCCACACCACCTGAACGGCCTTGTGAGCCAGTGCTAGACTGACTGCCCAGCTGAGCTCTTCTGCTAGTTGCTTCCAAATCCACTCATTCCTCTGGCCAGGTGGGCCAAGATGGCAGGCGGGACTGGGTGGACCTGGCAAAGAAGTGCACCTTCCACCTTGCTCATGTTTAAGAACATGGGTGCTCCGCACCCAGTGTACTCCTATGAAAAACGCTCCTGTTCCTAGATAGTCCCCTATCCATCTTTTTCAATGCCTCGGATTGCCCAGGATTCCCCAGTCCACAAGGAACTGGAACCAAATTCTTTTTTTTTTTTTTGGAACCAAATTCTTTAAGGTTGAGGACAGAGGAGGAGTTCATGCCTGCACAGCTCAAAGAACTGGTGTCATCCTTATGGGAGAGGGTAGTTAACACTGGGAAAGGCAAGCCCGGGGTTGGGAGGAGGAGCCGTTAGACCAGCGTTTCTCAACCTTCTTAATACTGCCACCCTTTCATACAGTTCCTCATGTGGTGGTGACCCCCAGGCATGAAATTATTTTCATTGATACTTTGTCACTGTAATTTTGCTACTGTTATGAATCAATTGGGCAACCCCTGTGAAAAGGTCATGCGAACCCCAAAGGGGTCGCGACCCACAGGTTGAGAACTGCTGCTTTAGACTACGTGTTAATGTGCATACCACTCACCTAAGGATTAGATTAAAATGGAACCAGAGAATCTGCATTTCCAAAGGATTCCTGCTCTGTGGAAGCTGCCTGTCCAAGGCCCAGAATTCCTATGGACAATTTTTAGGCCTGTGTCAAGGGCCAGGCAGTGCCAACACCCAGAACAGGAACAACCCTACTCTGATTATCCAGGAACCAGTCTTCAAAGATGGAATTCTGGAAGATTCCTTCTTTCTCCCAATGGGGGAGGGCACCTGGATGGGTACCTGGAGCCTGGTGGGTAATTCAGATGCAGCTCATGGGACAGGGAGACCTGGGCAAGAACCAGTCAGGGGTGCCAGCCTCCACAGAGAAGAAGGTGGACTCTCCCCAGCAGTCAGCAGCAGGCAGCTCCAGGGCTCAGGGAGAAAGGGTGCTGCTGAGCCCTTGGCTTGAGACAGGCTCAGGGCTTCTCTGGGTTCTTAGGAAAGGGGCAGCTTGGAGGCTTTGGAGCGACACAGACCTGAGTCTACAGTCCCAGTGCTGGGGGGATCTTGAGCAAGTCATTTCACCCCCTCTGGGCTCAGTTATCTCATTGGTCAAATAGGCACACCACTACCTACCTTGCAGGCACACAGAAAGTGGGGTAAAGGGTGATGTCTTCGGGAAAAACAAATCTTCCCTGCAGCGCTATATGGCCATTATACATGGGAAGGCCAACATCTGGGGCAGGGCCATCCATTTGTCTGACAGTCTGAACCACCTAAGCCTCCTCCCTTAATTCCTCTTCCTCTCTGGTTCCCTAGGTGAAGTTAGTGGGAATGTCCCCTCCACTCCCTTAAATGTTCATTCTGAAGACCCCTGCCCCAATCTCAGCTACTTTAAAGAGAACAGGGCCAGTAGCTAAAGCTTGGCTGAGAGACCCCTAACCATTCAAGGGTCCAGAGCTCCGATAGATGCTGGGGGAAAGCTAATGGGTAGAATGGTACAGAATTGGGGAGAGGCCTCAGGAGGAAGAGAGAGTTAAGGCCCTGTGGCTACCAGTTCTGCCCCTACAGACTGCTCTCAGGTAAGGGATAGGAGAAGGAATCTAAGGGCATGGATTAATCTCTCTCTCTCTCTCTCTCTCTCTCTCTCTCTCTCTCTCACACACACACACACACACACACACACACACGGCATAATCGGGTATAAATACACACCTGTCCCTCACCCCCATCCTGTGCACACAAACTCCCCACTTACCAACTGTGCCAGCAGCAAGGGACATCAAGAGCTATGAGATCCCAGAAACACGGCTCGCCCAAACCTAAACTTCTATAAGCCCAGCGCTAGGGTACTGACTGATGGAGACAAATCCTTTTCCCATGAATGGAAACCCTTTGCCTTTGGTTTTGGCTTGAGGGACATGGCTCAGCATTCCTGTATGCAGGGCAGTAAATCAGAAATTTACATGGCATAGAGGGAAAGATTAAAAAAGAAAACTCCTTCCCCTATCATATAACTGCAAGACAATTCCAACTCATAGTGACCCTACAGAGCGGACTAGAACTGGCTCATGGGGTTTCTAGGCTTTCTGGTAGTGAATCACTGAGCCTTTTTTCCCCAAAGAGTGACAGAGGGGTTTGAACCACTACCTGTGGGTTAGCAGCCAAGTGTTTAAGCATTGTACCACCAGGGCTCCTTTCCCCCATCATACACCACTTACCCAACAGTGTCACTGGGGCCCTCCACTCCCCATCACAGCACCTCAGATTTCACCATCAGATTCATTTCACTGGACTCAGAAAAATAAACCCCATCCCTACCCCCCACCAAGTTTTGAATGACAATCTTACTGCCTCCATCCCTTGTCAACTAGGTCAACATCGACTGTGAATTCGACTGCGGCTCCGCTCTGAAGTCCATCATCTTCTCAGTTCACAGGCCCCACCCTAGCTCTGCTCTCCCCCGCAGCCTGAGCTACTGCACCAACCTCCTTACTGATCTCTCTGCAACGCTTGCTCCTACCCTTACGTGTCTTCTCGATGCAGGAGCCAGAATGATCTTCGGAAGTACAAACTGAGTACACCCCTTTCCTGTTTAAAATATCCATGGCTACCCATTGTCCTCTGAATAAAATCCCAAACCAGCCTGGAATTCATTAAGAACCTTCTTCATTCCCACAACAACAATGCCCGCTCTCCTGCAAGAGGGAAGTCTTCCCAACATGCAAGTTGAGTTAGTGCCTCCACAGTGCCTGTGCTCCTTTTGAGCACAATAGGAATCTAATTCCGCTGTGTCTAGGCCTGTTGCTTACAGGAATGAGATGCTGAGGTCAAGACTATGCTCAATTCCATGGCTCTGACAATGAACCTCTAATGCTGGGCCCTCAAAAAAAGGCCTGGTGAACTGATCTGGGAGGCAGGAAATCCATCTAGGTCTCTGGCTCGCAGAGACCTGAGTGGACACAGGCTTCAAGCTCACTCCCACTGAGTTTCATAGCAACCCTATAGGACAGAGTAGAACTGCCCCTGTCGGTTTCCAAGAACATAAATCTTTAGGAACAGGAAGCTTCATCCTTCTCCTAAGGAGTGGCTGGTGAGCTCAAACAGCTGACCTTGGGTACCCCACCTATGTCATCTGGGTTCTCTGAATGGACATAGGAGAGTGGAAAGCAGGGTTACCAGGGGTAGAAACAAAGTTTAAGGATTTCAGAGCACACCAAGGTCAGGCCCCTAGTCTGGGCTGGGCCATCTACTTCTCCTGGCCCTTGGCCTCATTGTATCTCTTCAGTCCAGGCCTCTTTCCCACTCTGGTCTTCCTTTTCCCACTGATGATCTCTCTTCCCCATTCCCAGTCCATCCCCATCCACTCACTACTCTCTGCTCCCTTGAACTCTTTACTGTGAATTTTTCCTACAGCATGCTCCCAAATTCTGACTCAATCCCTCATTCTTTTATCCTTTCCTCCTCTCTTTGACTCTTCGTGTTTCCTCCTACTCTTTCTTATTCTAACTTATCATCATCTCCTAGCCTGGTCCTGACCCAGGGGGCTGGGATGCCCGGCACTCACCCCACAGTCAGTGGCCACTGTGTACTCAAAGTGGAACACCAGGGACCAGATGATGCAGAAGAAGAAACCGAAGACTGGGAAAGTGATGACCCACCAGGCCATGGCTGTGAAGCGTAGCCGAAACACAGTCCCATCAGGGTCCAGGTGCTGGGAGGCCGCAGAGAACATCCTGTGGGAAGTGTTGCTCAGACAAGACAAGGGATACAACTTGGGGCCTTAAGGGATACCTGGGTCTGGCAGAGTAGAGCCTTTTCCAGAGCTGGCTCATTAGGGAAGAGTCACAACAGAAAGGGTAGAAAGCCTAGAAGAGAAGGAGGTACAGAAAGAGATGGGGAGAAACAGGCAGGCTTAAGTTCTCAGGAGTCTCCCTGCTGCCTCAGTCCTGCAGAGGTGCACTATAGGTCCACCTCTGGAAGAACTAGCTAGGAGAGTCAAACCTCTCCTAGCTAGTCGCCTGGATGGGAAAACTCTTGACAGCCCATCTCACTGTGTCTGCCCAGGTCCCATCCTCAGACTTTGGAGAGCTTTTATTCTCATTCCACAGAGGGGAAGAATTATGTGAGGATCAAACACTAGGATGAAATCCCCTTGCTACCTAACAGCATGAGGCTCCACATCAAAACTTCCTTCAGGAAAGTAACTTAGACAAAGGACCCAGTCTTAGGACCGACCCTCAGACTGACCCAAGCCTCCCACTGCCCCTGTCTGACTACATTCCTGCTTCTCACCCAAGTTCAACTAGGAACAGTGGGAGTGTCCACTTTCAATGGGGCCACAGGCTGCCAGCCATCCCACCCCCAGGCTCAGAACGATCTAAGCCTCAGGCCAGCAATCCACTGATCCCACGATACCAAGGTACCTGCAGAGGCCCAGCCCCCTCGTCTCCTTCCCTTTTGAGAGGACAACCCAACTCAAAGTTTCGGAGAATCTGAGGGCTACGGGAAATGGCCCCGCTCAACTTGAGCCTCTGCTGTGTCATCCCAAGGCAACCTCTGTCCAGGTCAGATGATCCTGGAAGCTGGGCTTCTAATCCCTCCCTCCTCTACCCCAACTACCATGAAACGTAAAAGGACCCTTCATGCTGGCTCCTGGGGTGAGGGAGTGGAAGTGGGGGTAGGGTAAAGAGAAAGAGAGAGGATTTTGAATGAAAAGGCCTAAGGCCAAATCTTGGGACTCATACCTCTGTCCGATAAGTGCACCCCAGTCCACTAGTCTAGCTCACGATCAGGAAGGCAGGGAGGGGGCAGTAAGCCACACTCACACTGGGTGCTGAAGGGTCCGAGGTCTGTCTTGCACACACTAGCTAGAGGGAAGCTGTACTGAGACGGAGGGTCCCACCCCTGGCTTTCTAAGGCCTGCCCTCCCGCCCACAGAGCCCAGCTGCCCAGCTCTCCAGCCTGCCCAATCACACAGATTTTCCAGGATCACCAAGGTTATGTCATAAATCCGGGAACACACTGTAAAGGTAAGACGTGATAGTGGTTAAGGTCAGCCTACAGCAGCTTCCTTGCCAGAGATGGGGGTGGGGGGGCCTTTCTAAGGATTATATCTGTGGAAGTAGGACATACTTCCCTGGCAGGTTTCAAGGAAGGGAAAGCAAGAGCAGAGAATATTCCTTTTTGTTGGACTAGAACTGAGTATGTTTGTTGGGCTTCACTGGAGAACTGGTTAGTCCTGTGGCAACAGAATAAGAATCCAAAAATGATATAGATGAGCCTGAGAAGGAGGTATCAGTGTCCAGTGTGTGCAGCACAGCCCTGGTGGCTCTGTCGGTTAAGCCCTGAGCTGCTAACTACAAGGTTGATGGTTAAAACCCACCAAGTCCTCTGCAGGGGAAAGTTGAGGCTGGCTGTCCCTATTGTGCACTTCTCTGTCCTATAGGGCTGCTATGAGTTAAAGCTGACTCAATGGCAGTGAGTTTGGTTTTGTAACTGGTAAAAAAGAAGAAAAGAAAGGACCAAAATGGATGTCAGAAGAGATACTGAAACTTGCTCTTGAATGTAGAGTAGGTAGAGAAAATGGAGGAAGGATGGAAGTAAAAGAGCTCAACAGAAGATTTCAAAGGGTGCTTGGAGAAGACAACATGAAATATTATAATGAAATGTACAAAGGCTTGGAGTTGGAAAAACATGCTTAGAATCTCTTTAGCTGGAAGAACTGATGGGGAAAAAAATCAAGCCTCAAGTTGTAATAAAGGATCCAATGAGCAAAATATTGAACTTGAGAGGCATCAAAAGAAGATGGAAGGAATACAGAGTCACTGTACCCAAACAGAATGGTTAATGTTCAGTCAAGGTAAGGGGTGAAATATGATCAAGAACCAATTGTAGGGAAAAACCCCAGCGTCACTGCCGGCATTGATGAAAACAAGTTCTATGAATGAATGGAATAGCACCCGAGATGTTTCAGCAAACAGATGAAATGCTGTAAGTGCTTATTTCATGTATGCCTAGAAATTTGGAAGAAGACTGGCTAACCGGCCAACTAAAAGCAATCCAAAGAAAGATGACCCAATGAAATGATCAAACAAGATCATAAACGTCACATGCGTGTAATTTTTCTGAAGATAATTAAAAAGTTACAACAATGCATAAACCGGGAACTACCGTAGATTCAAGCTGGATTGAGAAAAGGACATGAAACAAGGGCTCTCACTGCTAATGTCGGAGGTATCTTGGCTAAATGTAGATAATTTAAAAAAAGATGTTTACCCATGTTTCTGTGACATGTAAAGGCATTCAACCATGGATCACAACAAGTTATGGATAACATTGCACAGAGTGGGAATTCCAGAATAAACTGTGTAGAACCTGTACATACAGCATGTGGCAGTCTTTGGACTGGAACAAGCATCCTGTATGGTTTAAAATTGGGAAAGGTGTGTGATGTGCATCAGGGTTGTATCCTCTCACCATACTTATTCAAACTGTACCGTGAGTCAATAATCGGAGAAGCTTAATTCTGTGAAGACCATGGCGTCCGGATTGGAGGAAAGCTCATTAACAACCTGTGACCTACAGATGATACAACCTTGCTTGCTTAAAGTCAAGAGGTCTTGAGGCACTTACTGATAAAAAATCAATGACGACAGCCGTCAGTATGGGTTACACAGGAGCGCAAAGAGAACAAAATGCTCACAACTGAGTCAACAGACAACATGATGACGAATGAAGAAACTACTGAAGTTGTCAAGGGTTTCATCTTACTTGGATACACAATCAACACTCTTGGAAGCAGCTGTCAAGGAATCAAATGAACAGTGCTTCACATTCTACTTTGATGAGTAGTGAGTGGAGTCTTAAAAGCTGACAAGCAACCATTTAAGATGCAATTATTGGTCTCTCATTATCTGGAGCAGAAAGTGAGAATTATATTATATTTCTTCATATTAATGAAGAAAATAAAAAACTCAAGGAAACAATCCAAAGGGCTAATGGACCATGGGAGCCACAGCCTCCACAGCCTTGGGACCAGAAGAACTAAATAGTAGCTAGCCAGCTTTGCAGACTGCTCTGAGCAGGATCACACTAGAAGGTCCCTCCCATTGATACAGGGCTAGCCTGCAGTCTGGAGAGTTGCTGAAGTGCCACGGCCAGAGCAGAGAGATTCACACGAGGAAAGGACATGCTCCCTGTTACTTACTGAGCCTCCCCATTACAGGGTGCAAGCAGAGACAGCGTCACTGAACTACGGATGTATAAGTCTAGATCACACTTTCTATTTGTAGGGTCAGCTACTGTTGAGTTCTTCTGGGTGAGAAGGCTAGAGCCTATGTGAAAATCTCCAGAAGAACCCAATCCGGTAGTCCAGGAGAATGTGCCTTTCTCAGGTCACATGTCTGGGCCCAATCCTACCCAGAGGAGCCAGGCACCCCTCTAATAACTAGCCAGTCCCTTAACCCTTATGTCTGTTACACTAAGGTTGTAGATCACAGAAACCAGTGTTTCCCAAAGTGGGCGATACTGCCCCCTGGAGGGTGCTGGGATGGAGTGGGGGAGAGGCACACTTTATCCAGGATGAAGTGTAAAGGTTTTACACTTATCTTAGCCAAAAGGACGAGAAGTGATGTTTAAAAAAATTTTAACTGCCAATTTAAGCATTTGTAATTGCTGGGCTGGAGGTGGGGGTGGTGCTAAATAATTTCTTTTTCCCCCCAGTAATTTCTTTCTGAAAAGGGGTGGTAGACCAAATAAACTTGAGGACCTATGATAAAAACCCTCAGTCAGCCCCAAGGGGTGTGAAGCTCTGTTTGATTCCAGGTATCATACACAGATTATAATTTTCTGTGTAGACTAAGACTATCTGATACCTGCCTTCCTTCTTCTGGGCCCTGGGCTGGGATCCAGTCAATTTACTCAACAATTGTCTTCTGACTCAGAAGCAATACTAACCTCAAGGAACTCCCCAGTAGGAAAGCAGGCTCAAATAGAATGTGTAAAAGATGGCACGAGGAACTATGGGCACTCAGAGGAGAGAGTAATGAACTTTGACAAAGGAGGCTAGGGAAGGGTTTCTGAAAGAGGTGTCACCTGGGCAGGTCTTTGCAGGCAGAATAGGATAGCCAGTGTGATGGGAACATTTGGTGCGCTAACCTGAGAAGAGTGCTAGCTAGGTAAGAAGGGAAGTCCGTTGGGTTAAAACCCTTTCTGATCTCCCCTCAGATCAAACCCTACCCCCCTTTTTTCTAGTCCTGTTCCATCTGACAGCTTTTAGCCCCAAGGCTCAAAAATCATGTTCCCCACAGCTCCGGCACACCTCGAACCAGTGACATATCAGAAGGAGGGAACAAAAGAAGTGGGCCCCTCCCCAGATCCCACTGCCAGTCCCTGCCCTTCCTCTGGAACACACTTTTTATAGGAAGGCGAGGAGCCATGCTGCTGAAGGCCTTCAGACTCTTTCTGACCATAATCCAAGGACCCGTGCCCAGACCCTGCTTTTTCTCCATCCTCTCTTGTCCTTCCTTCCAGCTGGCAGGCGCCTCTTCTTCCTCCTCCTTTGCCTCCTCTCCTTCCATCCTCTCCAACCCACCTTCCACTCCTCTCTTTACCTGGAGCTTTGCCTGGGAATCCCCGGGAAGGAACAGTCAGAATTATCAACCCCATTTTAGACCTGGGAACCCTCAGACCCTGCCTCTGTTTCTCAGGTCAAATAGAATCAGACGATGAGCTAGGAATAAAACAGATGTCAACACAGGTTTCAACCAATTTATTCCAAGATCCTATGGAGAAAGAACTCACGTCCTTCTTCCTGGCCCAGAAACACACATCCCTGTCCAGAGGTTTCCAGGCCACCTCAGA